CGTGTGACTGCAGCTTTCACATCTGTAAGTGGGGCTGGCCTGGGTGACTCCAGAGAGGCCTTTTCCTGCCTAGAGGTGCCCAGGCCCAGAAGTGATGCCCCAAGATGCCTGCAGGACACCTGGCCTGGCAGAGACTCGTCGCCCTGGAAGGCGTTTGAGGCGCCTCGTTCTCATTCTACAAGTCTTCTCCCTGGCCACCTTCAGTGAGCCTAGGAGGGGACAGGAGGAACAGGACGTGGCACTGGCTGGGCCCGTCCTCCACACCAGGTGCTTTGCTGGGACCTTATAATGAGGCTAATTGTTCAGGGAGCTGTTTATACCCCCTGCTCCTCAGTGCCAAGCTCAGTGCTGGACACGTGACACTCAGCACCTCATCTCACCTTCAGAGGCCCGGACCTGTCCTCCGGCAGCAGCTCTGGGGAGACAGCCTCCCCGCTCCCCGGCCCCCCCTCCTCAGAGGTGCAGGCGCAGAGAGTAAGTCAGCAAATGATCGTGGCGCCACAGCTCACTTTGCTGAGGGCAAGATCAGTGTCACGTGCCGTCCATGCATTATCTTCTTTATGCCTTAGAACAAATCTGTGAACACAACTCCGTTTTAGAGAACAAAATCGTCACCAAGTTAGTAAGTGGCAGAGCTGGGACTTGAACTGGATCCTCCCACCCCGGGGACCCTCACCCTTAGGTGCTGCGGGTGCTGGTTTTCTCGTGGGGTAAGGCCTTGGTGCAGAAGGCGGGGGAGATGAAGCCAGAGGACAGGCAGAGGCTCCCGTGAGACCCAGCAGGTGTCCCCAGGGCAGCGGCTTTGGTTTCGGTTTTAGGATCGGGCAGAATTCCGCACAGGGGCCATGTGATTGTCCAGCAGAGATAACCACTCTGAAGGCGACATCTTGCCTCCTGACCTGCCGTCTGTGTTTCTGGCCCGCAGAGCCCCAGGCAGCAGCCACAAGAGGCCCGAGAGGCAGTCGGCCATCTCCTACGACTACGCGGAGGAGGAGCTGATGGCCAGCATCGAGCAGGAGTATTGCCGCTGAGGCCCTCCTCCGGGCCGGCCCCGCTCCACCGGGCCGCTGGGAACCCGGGCTGGGGGTGCGCGTCCCCCTGCCCCGCCTAGCGCTCCAGCCAGAGCGGAGCTGCTGCCAACATGCAGTCACTCTGGGTCCTTCAGATCGGCCTTTTCAAACCCAGTCAGCCAGTCCTGAACATGGCGGCTGCTGGTCATCGTGCCTGCTGGCAAGAGGTGGTCCGCTGTGCAGACCCAGGCCGGAAGGAGGCACCTGCCCCTCCTCTCAGTCTCTGGGAAGCTTCTGTCTAGAGGTTCTGCTGGAGCTTGAAACACTCCCCATTCTGACAGCCCACTGTCCACCCGGGCTGACACGGGGCCCAGGCCACTTCGGGAAGGTTCCACTGTGAGGGTGCACCCAGGCGGTGCGCCCCGTGGGGCTGGAGGGAGCTACCTTCAGTTCTGTGAGTGACTCTGCGGGCGATGTTGAGATGCAGGCTCTGGTTCTGTGGGTCTGCGGTGGGCCCGAGCGTCTGCATTTCCAACCAGCTCCCAGGTGAGACCCCAGCTGCCAGATCCCAGCCACACATGGAGCAGCAAGGACTGAGCATGAACTTCAGACCTTGGTGCGGGCAGCTGCTCAGAGCCTCGCCCTGCCCTCCCCACCGACAAGATGTGGTGGGGTGGGGCGGCACCCGCTGGCACCCCACTCCGATCCTCGCTCTTGCTCTAGCTTGCAGCCACTTTCCCTTCCCGGGCCTCAGTTTCTCCCTCTAGAAAGTTGGTCCCAGGGGCTCTTGGGGGCACTGTCCCACTCCAAAACCTGGATTAGTGTTCCGGGCTTCCATGCCCTCCCTCATTCCCACGCCCTGGGGCACAGAACTGCCTCCCCTGTGGAGGGTGTGTGCCAGCCCCACCCAGAAAGTCTTCGAGGTCACCTGCTCTCACCTGACGAATGCCTGATAAGAGCTTTTTACTCTCTTCCTACCCCGTGGAAGGTAGAAAACCATAGTAGTGAGGCCATCGGAGCCTTAGAATGTTCCGGGCTGACGGATGAGAAAGCCGACTGGCCGAGGACCCCCACAGGGCCAGAATCGAAGCTTGACTGGAAGGGGACTTCTGCCGTGGGCCGGGCGTGGCTGCTCTTGGGACGCTCAGGGAGGCCAGGAGGCAGGCCCCCCACCTCCAGGGCAGCTGGCGAGGCCGAGGCAGCTTTTGCCCAAGCCAGACTAGGTCCCCACTTGTCTCAAGGTGACCACTACGCAGTGGCCTCCCTGGCGTTGCCTGCAAAATGCAAGAGCATCTTGGAAATCGAGAAACAGCCACTTGGCACCGTCCCCAGACCCACAGGCCAGCTGCTATCATGGACAAACGGGTGTTTCCATGCAATTTTATTTGACAAGAGTGCCTTCGATCAGATGTTCCACAGCCGGGGGTTTTTCTGCGAAGTCAGAGGATGGTGCGATGGAGCCCAGAAGGGTTGGCTCAGCACCTCCGCAAAGCCAGAGCGGTTTCTTTGGATAGAACCATTAAAGCTGTTACCATTTTAGTAATACAAATGCTCCTTCTAAAGGAAGTTAAAATTTTATTTCTCACAACCAGATGCATCAGGCCTGGAATTTAATGATAGAAAATGTTTACCATTTGACATCATTTTGTTAAAATGGAACACATTCAGCTGGTTTCCAAGAGAAAGATGACACATCTGCTTTTTCCAGTGGAAACCTCTTAGAACCCTTAATGAGGTAAAAGGGCTAAAAAAAAAAAAAAAATTCCCTCGTGTAGTTATACTTTGTCAATGTCAAAGTGAATGCACTTCATCAAAGCTAAGTCACAGCAGTTATTCTCAGGCCTTTTTGTTACCTGAATTCAGAGAAAGCGTCTTCTGCACAGCGGCTAGCCAGATACAGCCATGTGTGCCCGCTGGGAAGTGCTGCCCATTGTCACCGTGGGATGGGCGCAGACTCAGTGTGCGCCAGGGGGGAGGGTGTTGGCAAGAGGTACAAAGATGGACGTTCTGGGGTCTGTCTGTGGTAGAGGCATTTTTATCTAAGTCACAAGGCTGGAAAAGTCCACCAAAGTTGTGAAGCAGAGTAGGAAAAGGCTCAGGGAGGAGGGAGGGACCAGCAAAGGGTCAGGCAGCGAGGCCGCAGGGAAGCGTGAGTGTGCAGCCTGCAGGGAGCCACCCAGCGCCAGCGCCACCAACCGCAGATACAGCGACTGAGAACCGAACACGTCTCTGACATCCATGCAGCTCCTCCAGTGGGGTGTGGATGCCGTCCCAGCCAGCGTGGGCTCAAGAGAAGGCCCCCCGGGGAGCGGAGTGAACACTGTGGCTCCATCATGTACTTTTAAAGCCTGGGCTGGGGATGGTGGGAGGGAGGGAAGAGGCACAGGGAAAGCTGGAGGACGAGGGACACAGGGTTACGCAGCACCGTGAGCCTCTTCTGCCAGGACCGGACCCAGCATCAGAGTGGCCAACGCAGAAGTAGTCTCTTCACACATTTTTTTCCAGCATGAACCCTATGAGGAATCTACAGGGTACCCCGAGAGCAGAACAGAACCCCAGGAAACAGAGGAGGAAGGTTAGGTTGCGCCAATATACAATGATTTTTGTAGATTATTTTCTGAAAAGTGACTGGGTGTATTGTAGTGCAATTAAATGACACATGACACAAGTCCAGTTTGCAAAGCAAAAGTTGTATATGATTCAAAGTTACATCACACATATTCACTTAAATAATAAAGTCTGTTACATAAAACGTAATTCCAGAACATTTAAAATTTTATTACTGAAACTGCTTAAAAGGCTCAAAGTCAACAAAAAATCAAGCAAAATTGCTCAGGAAATAAAGTGCACTGGGGGGACGCGCTGCACGCGCTCTGCTCGGACACACAGAGCGGCCGGCAGAGGGTCCCCACGCCGAAGCCACCATCACGCGGTGCTGGTTCTCAGGACGGGACATTTCGGACGAAACGGTTTCCCAATTTACAATCTTTCAATTGACAGAAGGCAAAAAAAGTCGTTTGCAGAAGTTATTCTAAATCTAGTCAGGAAATGAAGGTATAAATCAAAACGTTATAACATTCTTCAAAAACAACACTGCTCAGACAATGAAGTTCAATGCGACAAGCGACCAAATACTCAAAGACCTTGTATTATCCACCAGAATATCGGGACACTATTTTGTATAATGAAGAAAAATACCCAAATTTAATGCCATTTATGGCACGCACCAAGTCAAATGTTTATGCTGACTTAAGAAATGAGTTGGAGAAAGGATTGGGTGCTGGGGAAACATGAGCTATATACATTTGCGTTTGGTTCTCTGCGACTGTACTGTGTCTCATGACCAGTACACACACTCAGCTAAGGAAGTGTCCAAAAACATAAAAGCCTCCAAAACACAGCCAGCACCTACAGGCCTGTATGTCAACTAGCAGTTGATACTGGAGGACAACTTAATGGGTATGAACTAACATACAATGAATGAATGAATGAATGACCAGGTGAGGGTAATCACACTAAAAAGACCCGAACATAGAACCTAATTGTATTTATTCACTATTTCATCTTACCATCATTTTAATAAAGGTAAATGCCAATAACTAAGAGGCAAAGACAAAACTGAAAAACACATGGCATGAACCAAACCTTCCCAGACTCACAACGCAGTGTAACATGCTGCCTGGCCCGCAGTGCCACCCAGGTGGTCTCCGTGGCTTCCTGGACACAGGCAGGGCCTGGGGGGGCAGCCTCTGTATAGTTAGGGTCTGCGCTTACACAGCTTTGAAGTGGTGCCCACCGGCTGTTTTCTAGGCAGACTGCAAAATGCCCCCTTCCCAGTCATTTCGTTTGGCTAAAACAATTTCCTTCGAACATGAACGGAAGGGCAGCTGGATGGCATTACTGCCACTTGTCAGAACCTGCATTTCCTGTAGTTCTTAATAAAGGAATGAGAACATGGGAGCTGACCATTTGCATGTACACTTCGCCTCAGATAAGCTACGCTTTGGTGGAAAGTTCCTCTAACCAATAAGGATATTTCCTTTTTCTCTAAGAAGTTACTCTACCCACAAAATACTATGGATAAGGCCACAGCAGAAGAAGTCAACCGACAATCGACGAAGCAGCTGGGTTTGAGTACTTATTTATTATTTTTTGGTGTTTGAGGTATAAACAGGAAACTGAATGGTTTGTTCCTGGCAGAGCATGGACACTCAGATCCTACAGCAGCTTCCTGCTCACAGGGTATCTATCAAATGTTTTAAGTTATTCTCTGCGGCAGGGGTCCCCACCCCCCAGGCCACAGACCCGTATACTGGTCCATAGCCTGTTCAGGAACCAGGCCACAGAGCAGGAGGTGAGCAGCAGGCAAGCGAGCGAAGCTTCATCCGTGTCTGCAGCTGCTCCCCAGCACCAGCATCACCGCCTCACCTCCCCCTCAGATCATCAGACAGATTCTCATAGAAGCACCGGTCCCTGGTGCCACAAAGGTCAGGGACCACTGCTCTAGGGAACATCCTCCACAAGTCATACCACAGACACAGGTAACTAGCTCTACTTAACCAAAATTTTAATTCCTTGGGCTGCAGCTTTAAAGGAATGGTTGCCTGGAATTTCCCTTGAAAATGTTACGAAGAAGCTGACTGCGTTTTTCCTTCTATTTCTTTAAGAGACCCCTATTCAACCAGTTCTGCTACTAAAAAATTCTTAGATCTTAAAGGCCTGATTACAAACTTGTGATTTTTTTTTTTTTTGGCTGAATAATGTGCCAAGGTTACTAAAAGCAGGGTTACTATAAAAACATTGTTAAACATTGAAAACAAGATTGCGAAATCATCTACCTAGAAACTGGTGATCAGAGTATCAATGATGTAAATATTTTCATAAAAAACAGTATAAAAATCAATACCCTGTCTCATTGCTACAAAACATGAATAGAAAGGTTGTAAAAATCCAGATATTGTAAAATTTATTGCCGAAACGTTTATTTGAATGCTGGTGATTTACATTATCAAATTTTCTTCCATTTCCTTAAAAAACTTCTAAAACTACAAAAGATATTGAACGGGATCAACCAGAAAGAAAAGTTAACCTACTCTCCTTAGAACCAGCTCCCCACTTCCCCCAACTCCCAAGACAATGGTTGGGGGGCGGGGAGAAAGCCACCAGTCCCTTTCCTGAAAGAAGGCTCCTTACAACTCCCGTGGGCCACTCGCCAGCCACCCCCGGCCGGCCTTCCAGGCAGCGGCTGGCGCGCTCACCGGTGGCCTCCGGGTGTCTCCAAGGCAATTCTGTTCGGTTTGCCAACCTCTGCCTGCCAGCCAGTGGTCTTCTTGGTGGTCACGTGGCGCCGGGCGTGCTTCGACAGGTGGTCGCTGCGCATGAAACGCCGGTCGCACGCTGGGCACACGAACTTCTTCTCCCCGGTGTGCGTCCTGCGGTGGCGAGAGAGCTCGTCGGAGCGGGCGAATTTCTTACCGCAGCCAGCCCAGCTGCAGCCGAAAGGCTTCTCTCCTAAGAGGCGAGAAAGCGCAAGTTAAAGTGTAGATGCTCAACGGTTCACTGGTGGCGTTTTAATTTTGTTCATCAAAGTCTAGAAAGAAAGTAATAGCCTATTCTTCTGGTGTCGGGTCACTCAGAAGTTAAGAAATCCTCCAAGTCTCTTTCTGCCACCTCTGAGAGGTAACATGCCAGGGCCCAGAGATGTCAAACTAATCTAATCTTTCAAAGGACATTTTTAAATAAAAATAAATCTTGGTTAGCTCGCAGTGGAGGAAAGATTTTTGAAAGGAATAATAATTCTTTCCCTTAGGAAGCTGCGCATCTAAAAGATTCCCTCCGGGACCTCCATGACTTCTCAGGATCGTTACTTCCATGCTCATATTTGTTAATTACCCAACAAAAAGGTTGCACAATGGGTTGGAACTCCAACAGCCACCTTCCTGCCGCCGTTACCAGCTCCCAGAGTCTGTCACTCATTCAGGTGCTGAGCCCCCAGCAGGCGACCCACACTGTTATCTCCCTGGAGTCCCAGAGGTGAGCCAGGGGGGGCTCTGTCTGCAGGTGACATGTAGCCCTTCCCCACAGAGCAGAAGGGCCCCTTTCCTGCATCCTGAAGCTCTTGTCTTGATCAGGCTGTGACAATCTTACACTGCTCGTGTGACCGCGTGAAATGACTTGTTAAGCACTGTTACACGTGGCCGTGTGACCTGCCTTTCCCAGGGTTGATGACTTGTCTAGTTCATCTGTCTTTGTACAGCTTAGCCCCAGCACAGTGCTTTGTACGGCAGGTGGCGAATAAGTGCTTTCGAATGAAAGAGTGGTGGGGAGACACCGCCTATTTGATATTTTTTGTAGTTGAATTAATGGGGGAATTTTTTTTCAGATTATTTGATATTTTTCGTAGTTGAATTAATGGGGAAATTTCCGCATCACAATGGTTTTGTGAACCATTCTATGAAAAGGCCTGAACTTCCTGGATTTCAAAGACCCCATGTTGTAAGCGTATAAAAAGGATGCCCACCTGTTCCCAGGAATCCAGCACCGCTGCTGGCAAGTGCCAGGACGGCTGGACAAATATGAACAACCCTTTGCCATGGGATTTATAAAGTACCCTACCTGTTTTCAACAGATCAAAAATGTAGCTTTTGCTCCCTTTATCTAATTCTAATTAAAACATTTTTCAGATTGGTCGAAATCCATGGAACACTATCTTATTTAAAGTAAACTTACCCAAAGTTTCTATTTCTTATGAAAATTTAGTGTTGACAAATGGCATAAGAAGTCGATCTTTCGGAACCTTTACTTTTATGGTCATTTAAATTGGAGTATTTTGGGAAACCTGAAAAAAGCCTGTTTTGATCATCTCATTTTATGCTATCCCGTATTTCTCCCAAAGTGAAGCTGATGAGTTAACAGTAAAACCTCATTCTATCACCTCCCCAAATCTGGAATCTGTGTTTGGATGTGATGTGAGGTTCACCTCAGTCGAATGAGCGAAAAAATAGAATCAGCCAAGTCAGTGAGCCCGTCAGAGGCGCCCGTCCCCTCTGATACAGCTACGACAGTCACCCTGCAGCACCAAGGGCCACGCATAATTGACTGGTGTCAGGTTCTTGTGTCGGACACCAAGAGTTTATATCCAGTGAGATCCGTCAAGCATATAAAGAATTTCTTTTAAAAAAAGAAAAAATGTGGTGGGAAACACAATAAACCACTAGGGTCAAAGAAGAAAGCAGAGCTGAGGGGTCACTGTGAGAACTGACTCTGGCGAGGCCTCTCAGGGTTTCCCGTGAGGAAGCGTGGAACTGGGGAGAGAGAGTAGAGGCAGAGAGGCGAGCTGCTGACGGAGCCTCATCCCCGAAGCGAACAGCCCACTGCAGAGTGGGGCACAGTCGAGCTCCTTCTGCAGCGCCTGCATCCTGTCCCAGACTCCGCCTCATTCTGCAGGCGGGAGCTGCCACCATTGGAGCTTCAGTGTGCTAATTAGAGACCGCTCTATCTCACGCATTCTGGAATAAAGTACCACAGAAACGCCCTCCTGTTCCCTTTCCCCGCCGCCGTGTTCCACAAGTCACTGGTGTCCCACAAGCCGTTAGCGGACGTTTTAGTGGAAGAGGTTTCATGATCAAGAGAGTCTATGAAACACACCTTCACTGCAGAGCCTGTGGACTGTCACTGTGCTCCACGTATGTGGTCATGTGAGCCCTGAAAGGCGAGTTTCACAAGCACACTATTAAACCACAGGACCCTTAAAAACAAAACACTAACTCAAAGAACAAGAGGACCACAGCACACCCGAGACATTCTGCCCTGATCAACTAAAGCAGAGGCTCCACCAGGCAGCCCTCAGAGTTCTCCAACGTGGAAGCCAGCAGCCCCATGTAGCTACAAAATGCAAAGTCAAATACAAAATTCAGTTCCCCAGTCAAGGGCGTGCAGCTCTGTCCCTAAGGGACGGACAGAGAACGTTCCCATCACTGCAGAAAATTCTTATCTGGAAGCAGCTAAGACAGCAGAGATCACTGTCATTACAGTTAATTTCTTACGTGATTTCTCCTTCTGAATTAAAACCTATATATTCCCAAAAGTAAGAAACTATATCTCTTTGAAGTTCATATATTCTAGAATTCAAACTTTTCCATACTTTGGGGAGACTTTTCCCCATAATAAATCTAAGTCAGTCACACTGATGTTTATTGAATGGGAGTGCATTTTCTAAAATGCGAAATAAAATGTCTACTGTGATGTGAAAAGGACGATGCAAACATCACCTAAAAGCCCGTCAAAGGACCACAATCCTAAGGCTGTGCTGCATCTTATGCACTGGGGCGAGCAGATGCCACGTGGCAGAACCACCACTGACAGCTGTACTAATGCGAATCCCAAACCTACACAACTGTGAAGGCTTTTCAGAACCTAAAGAAAAAAGCCACGTTTCCACTTTCCCGGTAGTTTTCACGCTTCCCTCCCACTCGAGGGCTCAAGGTGTGCTTCTTAACCATGGGACCTGATGTCCCTGAGGCCCTACCTGCCTCAGTACTCACCTGTGTGCGTGCGAAGATGAGCCTTGAGGTGGGAACTTTTGAAGTACGTTTTCCGGCAGCCTGGAAAACTGCAAACATAATTTCTCCTTCGGGAAAAGTCTACCTGAGGGACACAGTTCTGGCTGGAGGCAATGAACACGGGAGCAGGGGCAAGAGGCAGTAACTTGGTATTACCGACAGCCATTATACTCGAAGAACAGGTGGCAGGCTGGGGGAGCGCCCCCTGGGGCAGAACCAGCATCACAGTTCCCTGAGGCACAGATGGTCCCACGAACACAGGCTGGGGCAACGGAGCAGCATGGGGTAGGATGGGTTTGACAGTCCCGGCTGATACTTGGGGAGGTGGCTTCAAAAAAGCTGATAATAAGCCGCTTTGTCCAGTCACAGGGATCATTTGGCAAAGGACAGGGGGACTGGGGATGGGGACAGAAATCAGAGGAGTGGCTTTCCTTGGCAAGTCATTTTCGTAATTCTTTGGTAAGCAGGTCTGAATTGCAACGGGCCAATCTGCCTGCTGGCCTTTGTCAGTGGGGATCAGGCCACTCGACTTATGTGAGCAAGGCTGACAAGACACTGCGTTAACGCTGAGTAAACTGTTTGTGAGGTGTGTGTCCTGCAAAGCTTCAGTATGTCCCAGAAACCGTGCTTCTCCTTCTCCGTTGTCTGAAAGCGGGCATTCTTGAGTCTGCGTGGTAGGTGTGTGGATGGGAGCAGGACTCCCCGTGGTGTGGCGGATGACACTCGTCACCACAGCCTTGCAGGGGGGGCGGCCAGGGGCTGGTTCCAGCAGCTCTGGCTTTAAGCCAGGCAGGCCCCTCTCTGCCCCACTGCTCAGCACTCTGGCTGCCCCACCAGAGGCCGGGGAGATGGCCGTGACCACGCATGCTTTGGGATCAGTTACTTGGGAAGGAACAAGCGTCCCCGTCGATGGCTCCACGAGATCAGGGCTCTGAGGAGGAGTCATGCACTTTAAAAAAAAAAAAAAGGTACTGTGTGAAAAGGTTGTTTTGGTTAAAGTTTAAAAGGGGCTTACGTTGATCATGTTGCCCCCAGTGCCTTTTTAAAAAATCTGTAGAAAAGACTGGTATAAGCCTGCTCATAACTGCGCCCGGTGGATTTCGAGGCTGCATAAGGCTCTTTACTTTTGAGTTTTCTCCCCCTTTCCTGACCTCTCCCAAATCCGCCCATTTGCTCAGCTGTAAGAATGTTGGTGCCGCTCCTGGGCTTGCACAGTTGCTGAAATGAGCGATATAAGCATTAGGACTACAGGTGAGAAAAAATAAAATTATATTCAAAATGAGAGCTTTTCACAAAAACTTTAGATTCTCAAAAATTGTTTAAATTCTGGTTAAATCATTTAACACACACTTAGCCGGTGCCCACTAGATTCAAGGTAAACCTCCTGGAACGATCCCAAAAGGCCATGCTCTAATCCTGCCCATACCAAGCCTCTCCTTGTACTGCCCCCAACTCCCACTTATTCTCGGCCTCCCCATGGAAGAGCCCAGTGCCGAGTAACTCCCAGAGGCACGCCGGCAGCCAGGCAGCACTTGTACAGTCATCTCTACCGCCTACAAGTGCCTTCTCATCCCTCTCCAGGTCGGCTTTCCACACTCTCCATTCGGTGCAAGCTTCCAGCCCAGGACAATTAGATGACTATTTTCACTTCTGTTAGCAACCGACAGCTCTCAACTCCTCCAAGTTGAGAAGCAATTTCTCCCAGCAATTTCATAGCTGTAGCAAGTTAAGAAAACAAAAAAGTGCTTGACCCTAGCCAACTCACACAAGTAAGAGGCTGGCTGCCACAGGGAGGACGAGAGGCCAGTGTTTTGACCCAGTTAACAAAGGGTGTCCTGTGCCAAAGCATAGGCTTTCCTTGACCACCCACATACCGTGATCCTAGGCAGGTTCACCTGGGGAAACCTAGCTCCCTGCAATTCCCCAGGGAAATGAGTATATTTTACTTTCTTGAATCTGTAGACTGCATCCTATGGGCATTTTAACACTGTGTCTGCAAGCTATGATCTATCAATGGACAGAACGTATTTCCTAGAGATAAAAGAAGTTTCATCCTTAGGTCCTCCACATGGGGAGGCCATGAACTTGCTTGCCAGCATCCCAGTGAATCTGCCCACGAGTTCCTCAGCACAGTTATTGAACGTACATGTTTCACAAAAACTCTCCTTTCCCCCACCTCTTACCAGCGTTGATAAAGAATGGAAGTCCTTTGGTAGCTCAGGTGCGGCGTCATCCACATGCACAGTTGTGGTGACATCTCCAGAGTCAGAGACAGGTGTGAGGGGTCTGATCTTTAACAGGTCACCTTGCTGGGATCTTTGACCCCAGGAGCTCATGCAAACAAGAGCCTCGACGGCTTCGATATCATTCTGCTCCAAGATGCTGCACGTAGACCGTTCGCTGTCATGCCGCTTTCTCTCCAGGATTGACTCACATATGTCTATGATGTCAACCTAAAGGCAACACAACACAATGGCTTCTCAGCCCAGGGGAAACTGGACTGCGGGGTAACCCTGATGGGCACGTGGCTACCCAGCCAGGAGCCTTCACCATGCATATAACAAATATACCACATGCTGCACACAAGCTCTGTTCTAGGAGAAGGTGTCAACAGAACACTCTCGACAATTTTGCTTTTAAGCCAATGTCCGAAAAAAGAAAAATGACTGGACTTGGCTGGCAAGGAGTTTCCACAGAAAACCCTTAAAAAATTCCTTAAAAAGATTACTGATATGAAGTTCATATTTTTCTTTGATAAACGATTAGTAAGACTAATTCCTAGGGTGTAAGCCAAAGTGGCTAGTCACACGGGGAGGTGGAACTGACACCAACTCTGTCAAAGGTTT